CTTCGAAAATATTTCGTATATCCATCTATAACTTTGGGGACATATTCTTTGATAATTTTTAAAGAGATTTAAGCAAAAAAAAATCGATTTTTCGAAGCTTCTAAAGCAGGCTCCCCCCTTAAAGTAAACGTAACCGCGCTGCTGGAGAACACATAATGTATTGAAGTTAAAGGAATTTATTTTGAATAAGCAATAACTTTTCAAGAACACATCCGATAAAACTAGTTTATTTTCAGGACACATCTCTGACATTTGTTAAAATTTTGGAACTATGATTTATGTAATGAAATTCTCAGTCATCAATTCCATTCACCATTTTAGCTTTCCCCTGGATGTTGTACAGTGCACTTAATAAGTTTTTTCACTCACTAAAAGAGTATTTTAAAATTGCAATTAAAAATAAGTCAACCTATTTGCAACTTTTCGATAGGTTTTCTGTTATTTTTTTTATAATTTTGTACATGTATAAGTGTATTTGAACGTGTTTTATGCATAAATGTAAATAAGAAAAGTGTTTTTATTTAGTAAATTTGTATACATAAAATTTTTTTCCTTGTAAATAATACTGTTTTGCTAATACTAAACATCAATTTATACACAGGTGATGTTTTTGTTGCGTGTTTACAATTAAAAAAGTAATATATCGTCACCGGAAATGCAAAATAACGTAACATCACTTTTCATAAGTTTACAGGCGAAGAAAAAACGACTCATATTCAAAAAAAAAAAAAATTGAGTTTCGATTATTAAATGGTTATATATTGGTTATATATGAGGTGAGAACTGGTTATATATCGGTTATGATTGAGAACGTAAGTTTGTACTTTTACGATATTACATATATGTTGTTGTTGTTGTAGCGAAAAATTCTGCCGAGTTGACAGTCCTTGACTGAATAAAAATCCGGGTCCGTTCCGATTACGTCGACCCGACTGTCATGGGAACGGATAATACATATATATATACATATAATATGATGTTGTAAAACGTAAGCAATAAAAAACTCAATTTCGATTTTTTTAATGATACGTTATTTTGCATTTTAAGTGACGTTATGTAATATTTTGGGTAATTCCAATAGTAATTTCTATAAACTAATACACAATACTCAACACACTTTAGTTTTTTTTTTATTATTTTTGCTGCACAGCAATTCCTAGCGTTTAATGAATTAAGGCTTGTAAAAAAATCAACTCACTTGCTATATGTCAACTTAACAACAACAAACACATACTTTTTTTTATGTCAAAATACATTTTAACGCTTGTACAGTTAGTTATATTCGTTTTTAACATTTTTCTACTTATAACAAATATTGTTAGTTGCATTTCTTTCAAATGCATTATAAATCATAGTAAATATATGTGACACTTTTTCTATTCTTTTCTTTTTCCGATTTCTTCATTTGTATACATACACATACATACAACTATAGTTATAAGGACCACAAAGTTTGTGTGTGTATATAAAAAATCCTTATCAAATATGCCTACCAAATATTTTTTATTTTGCTACAAACATACATACATACATACACATGTGTTGGAAACTACATGTACACATATTTATGTTAATTATTTTATGTAAATTTGCATAATAATTTACTTGTACATCAAAAATCTATTTAACACATTTTTATCTAATTAATTTTACGTTTGTTTATTGTAATTTTACTCGCGCAACATTTTTTTTTTTTGTATTTATTTAATAATTTATTTAATAATTTTAATTTAATTTCGTATTTCGTATTTCATATTTAACGTATTATGCTTCATAATTAAAATATACCTATATGACTGTTTCTAGACGTAAATTTGTCATCGCTAATTTATGCAATTTTTCACTTATGTTATTGATCTTAGCTATTTTGGGTACTTGGGCACTAAAAAATTAAGTTTTTGAATTTACTTAAGTCTTTTTAAATTTTTGCTAATCTCTTTTTATTTATCTACATTCTATTTATATACTATATAAGCTTAAATTTTTTTATAAGTATACATATAATTAAATTCAATAACACTGCATTTCCTGCTTTCGATCTTTCTTTGTAAGATTTTTCCTAAATTTTGGTATCACTATAAAAATCAAAACTTTTAGTGGTAGTCAGTTTTATTTGAATTTACGGAAATTGGCGCAGAGTAACTTTTTTTAATTTAAGCAAATAATTTATATAACAATAATTTATATACATATATTTCATAGTAAATGAGGAGGAATGACATTTCTTAAACCTTTGAAGGGATCAATCTTTAGATTTTCGAAATTCAGATTTTGAAATTAAAGTACACCGGGGAACATTTAATATTTCAGCTCTATCATCGGCATACATTCTCTCTACCCATCGCGCTGATTGCACGGTTGTAGAGGTTATATCCACTTCTGAATCGTGAAAAATCGCTGCTTTTCTTTGGGTGATCCAAGTAGAGGTATTCTTTTCAATAGGCTTCTTTTGCCAGATCCGAGTGAGTCATGTTAAGCTATCATTTTATTATTGTCAGGTTTTGTTTTTCATTTCATTATAGAAAGACTTATGAATGACCAACCTTTACAAATCATTGAACTTTATTACGAATTTCGCTCAATTTTTGCAACACCATGATCCATCTTTAGACCCAGCATTCATTATTGGATAATATTCGACCGAAGCGTTTAAAATACAGCTTTTGCAAGCACTGAAACCGATTAATCTTCCCAAGCGACATCGCTTTGCGCTATTTGTACTTGAAAAGATACAAGAAGATACGACGATTTCGAGCCTATGAGAGCTCTCCCGCCACGATGTCAAAATCGTGATTGGCGACTTTAACGCCAGGGTAGCCAAAGACGGAGACTTGAAGGAGAATTTGAAATTCGTGAGTATGAAGAGTTTAAGATGGCCGGCAGGGATAATACTTGAAAATTTAACGAAAAGATGCGATGACTAACATAAGGTTTTAATACCGGAACATACCCCAGAGGTAATCTAGTTTCTAAGGCCCAGAGCATAAAATTATGGAGGGAACACTTCTCCAGCCTGCTGAATGGCAGTAAAAGCATAACACTAGGAGATTGTGAACCCGATTCCCCAATCGTTGCCTATGGGGCAGACGTTCCATTTCCCGAGCATGAAGGGTAACAAAACGGGGAGGTCCGATGTATTGCCGGTCGAGCTGTTGTGCTCTGCCCAATCCATAAAAAGGAAGACCCCACAATCTGCGTCTACCATGGGATAAGTCTCTTCAACATCGCGTATAAGGTTTATCGAACGCGTTGTGTGCAAGATTAAATCCCACCGTCAACAGACTGATTGGACCTTATCAGTGAGGCTCTAGGCCTGGAAAATCGACAACTGAACAGATATTCACCATGCGTCAAATTTTGGAAAATACTGAGCTGCAGATCTAAATGAAGAAGATACAATATTTTATAAGAGTGTACAACTTCTGGCGTAAGCCGATGACATCGATATCATTGAGCATAACAACTGCGCCGTTAGTTCTCCGAATCGAAATATCTCCTGCCATCAAACAAACAGTCGTCACATTCACGACTTGGCTCCCGCGTTACTGTTAACAACAATAACTTCAAACTCGTAGATAATTTCATTTATCTTGAAGATAACATTAACACCAACAACAACTTCAGCCTCGAAATTCAACGCAGATGAGCTCTTGACAACAGGAGCTACCTCGGACTGTGTAGGCCATTGAGAAGTAAAATCCAAAGACCAAATTCTACAAGTCACTCATCATCCCCGCCTTGCTAAATGCTGCAGGGCCACGCGAATACCGCTGTCGATGGAACGATAAGTTCTACGAGATATACGCCGACATTGACATATAGTAGTTCAGCGAATTAAGAAACAGAGACTACGCTGGCCAGGTCATGTCGTCCGAATGGACAAAAACACTCCAGCTCTCAAAGTTTTCCACGCATTACCCGCCGTGGAAAGCAGAGAAAGAAAACGACCTCCACTCCATTGGAAATACCGTTTGAAGAAGGACCTAGCTACACTTGTTGTCTCTAACTGGTGTTATTGTAAACTCGGCTGCACCAATAAAGAAGAAGAAGAATATGAGACAAGCTGCAATTAGTTCCGCAAATTCTTAACCCATTTCATCAATATCTTGAACAATTATAAATAATATAATAACTAATCAAGGAAATATATAACCAATACTAAAAGTAAGAAAAGTAGTTTACATTAGCCTTAAGTATCAAGGAAGAATCGCTTCAAATCAGAAAATTTATGTTATAAACATGTTCTGCGCCAGTTCCACATTTTTTTTTTTTTGTCTATTGCTTAGTGTAAATGTATTAGAAATATTTTCATCGTATCTACACTTTCATACGAAAACTGAGAGTTCGAGTGAAACCACATTTGTGGGTGCTGGAGGCAGATCAAGGACAACCATAGTTAAAGCGTTGTAATACTACCAAGAACTAAAAAAAAAATTTACAATAAAAACTTTTAGGCATTTACGGATTTTTAGTACGGTCTATTACAGTGATAACAAGAACTTTTAAGTACAGTTATTTTTTTAAATAAAAACCGTTAGATATTTACATTTACGGATGTGTTAGTAATAAATTCAATATTGGGAATGATTATGAAAACGCTATAATGCCTATTGTTACATTATACAAACATTAAACCGTTACAGTTAAGTGGCATTTCATTACAGTTAACGCTAAACTAGCCTAACCTACAACAACGGCTGCATAAAAAATTAGCTTATTAATTATGTCTAAGTATTTAAGCAAAACGCTAGCAATTAGCTATTTTCATTTTGCATTTCCTTTAATTTCGAAATTATAACTCATCACAAATATAAAGTTTGCGCCACTGATCTTTCAAGTTTTGCGCACGCGCCTGTAAACACACGTGTAGTATGTGTCGTACAAAACCGTTATATATGCTATACTGTTATTTCATACTTAAATACGTATATTTTTTACGATTTGGAGCCTCTAAATTTTCATTGCTGGCAAATTCGTTAATTTCTACTGCCTGTCTAAGATCCTTTTTTTTTTTATTTTGCTAAACTATTATTTGTGTGTGTAACGCCTTTATTGTAACGCTTAAGTGTACCTCTTTTAGAGTGCTTCAGTCGATGAACTACAGGGTCCAATGTAGGCAGCAGCTCCAACCACATCCGATGGTGTGCCCGGCGTCACCAAGCTGCCACCACTGCTGGCAGCCGTGCTCGTTGCCATTGTTGTTGCGCCCATGCTTGTCGTTAAGGCGATGCTGGTGCCGATTGCTGCTTGCTTTATCGCGGTAAGCGTAGAAGCGGCCACGCTGTCAGCAGCCATTTTGTGTATGGTTGTTGCTAGATCGTCACTTTTCGGTGGATACTATGTGAAAAATTAAATTTTATTAAAAATAAGTAAGCTTGCGGATAAATTTGCTTCTTGAAGATCTTAACCTAGGTGTTTTTCGAGTTACTAATAAGGCGGGTACGATAGCTTTTCACCAACTAAAGATGGAGTAAGCATTCAGTGAAATTAAGGCACTTGCCAGCGAATTTAATAGAGTCCTAACCAGTCCAGTACCCATTGGATTTGCTAGGAATAAGTAGTCAATATAACGAATTGCTTAGATCCGAACCTAACAAGAATGCTGACTAACTCAAATCTGCCTGATCGTACAACTGAACTTGAAAAACGGAGTCACTGAAACTAAATCACTTAAAATCGAACCTAACTGTGCTTGGATTAAGGATCCTTTGAAACTAAATCACTTTCATTCGAATTTAACTGAGCCTTGGCTATCTCAGATCTGCCAGATATTTACAACTGAGCTTGGATTAAGGATCCATTGCCACTGATGTACTGTCATCCGAACTTTACAGCCATGACTGTCTCAGATCTGCCGGATATTTACAACTGAGCTTGGTTCAAGGATCCATTGAAAATGAGGCGCTGTCATCCAAACTATACAGAGTATTTAGCACAGAATGTGTTATATTCATGAAGCTGAGTTTGGAATATGGATCCATTGAAACTAAGCCACTTGTATTTGAACCTAACAAAGTTCTCTTTATCTCAAACCTTCCGGAACAGGGAACTTGAAACAGGGATCAACTGAAACTGAACCACTTGCATAAGCTCCGTCTGAGTTTGCAGCTGAACTTGGAATAAGTCGCTGGACTACTTGCATTCAAACCTAACTGAGCGCTAACTAGCTCAGATTTGCTGGATCTTATAGCAGAGCTTGGTATTCATTGGAAATAGATGTGTCCGTAAACTACTTCTAACCAAACTGCACTTAACCCCACCAATTACCTCTTGCAACTCGTCCACCGATGGTAGTAGTTCATCTGTAGAATTTGGAGTTAATGGACTCGGTGTTGGCATACCGCTCAAGCGACTTAGCGCCGACGCAGCGCTCATGTGATGTTGTAGCGTATCGCCAATTACAATTTGCGGTTTATTTTGATTAAGATGTTGTTGTTGTTGCAGACGTGCCAAACGTAATTTCATCTCCTGACGTATCTCCTTCTGTTGGACCTCCTTCTCGAAACGCATCATACTATAACTACGCACAGACGAACTAGTACTATGAACCGACGCTAGACTTGGTCTTCGAGAACCTGTATTTCAGCGTGTTAGTGTGTGTTTTATGTGAGAGTGTATTTGTTGAAGAGAGGAATGTTTACGGTGAGATTATTAAAATGTGAATCATTACATTTATTAAATTGTTTAAATTCTTTCAAATAAGTTAGAATATAATTATATAGATCGTTAGCAACAGTTTTGTATCATTAGTTGGCAGAACTTGTAAGAATTTTTTGGCCAATAAAAAAACGATAAAAAGAAATAATTTTTTTTCGAATACTCTTTATCTGCGCGCTAATGATGCAAAACTAGTGCTGTGGTAAAAAAAATATTAGGCTTGTAAGCTTGCTTTATTTTCGGGACGCTGCAGCTATATTTAGAAAGAGGGTGGAGAGTTTTCATACAAATTAAGGCATAGTTTTAGGCGTACAAGCGTAGCGTGCATATGTTGCTCATTAGCCCATTTTACACTTAAAATTCGCTAAAAGAGGTATAGGTACGAAGTAAGCCGAATAGTTGGTACGAATACTTTACAAGGGTATAGGGATAGAAGAAATTTTTACATTTCGTTCATATGGATAGAAAGCTTAATTTTATAATTTTGTTTTATGGGAAGTTATACAAGTTACATAGAGCAAAGCGCAAATAATAGAAATTTATATGAAAATTCAATTATTTATATATATTTTTTAAATA